TTATCCAAGATCACTATATTTTCCTTTCGCCAAATTTCATCTTCTTTGCTGCGATGTTTCTCATATAATGTTTTAATGAGTGACATACACTCAAAACTGTGTTCAGCCACCTTAAAGCTTTATCCTTGTAGAATAATTCCATCAATTCTCTATCTAAGCCCGCCCTAAGCGACGCATCCAGGTCGAAAATAGTTCGGGCTATTATGACAAAAATGCAGTGCGAACCGTTGAACAGCTTCCACGGCCTATTTCAAGGCCTATAAATAGGTCTTGTATATACATTTAGAAATTATAATATAAATCATCTTAAGCTTTATCCTCGTTGTTTCATTCCTCAAAGTTTCTAATGAGTGTAACTTCTCCTCACGATTCCTATATGATGTCTTACAAGCAAGTTTTAAAGAGTAGACAAGCTTATTATCAAGAGGGTATTATTTTGATATAACACCACATTCTCCTGTCCTTTTCACAAGAGAAAGTATAGCAGTCAGAGGGAAGATTAACTTCAGTGTTGGATTTTCGGAGGGAAAGGGTTCAAGCAAAAGTGACATGTTTCTGTTGACCGGACTCTACAAACAGAAGTAACTTACTGATTTTCCCTTATTTTCTTCAACCGCAGTTGAAATATATGATTTTCATATATTCACAAACATTGACTAATCACTTCACAGGTTTATTACAAACCAACATAATGACCAGCTCTTAGTTGGCTGTTAGCTCAGTTAGTAGAGCACCGCACCGGTATCGCAGGGTTAGTGGGTTTGAATCCAGTACAGCCCTGAATTCTTTTTTTTAGGCCTTATTTTCACTATTGCTTGAGCAGTGTTCAAAACTGAGAAGACCGCTCTCATAGTCATTTCTTTAACCCCAGTTCAAAGATACGATTTTCATATATTCACAACCGTTGACTCATCGCTTCACGGGTTTATTACGAACCAACATAATGACCAGCTCCTAGTTGGCTTATTGGCTCAGTTGGTAAAGCACTGCATCGGTTATCGCGGAGGTCATTGGTTCGAATCCCATACAGGCCTGAATATTTTTCAGGCCTTATTGTCACTGCTGCTTAAGTAGTATTCGTAACTGCGAAGATCGCTCTCATTCTCATTTCCCTTATTTGTTAAAAAAAAAAAAAAGAAAGGGTGGACACATCAATGTTATCGCGTTTGATTTAAGCCAAAGAGTATTAAATGTATTAGATACAGTCAAGATTGTGAGAGCCAATGACCATAAATATTCCCATTTCTGGGAGAGTGTTAATTGTTGCAATTATACTACAGCAAGACAGTTTTCCCTCTTTCGTTACTTACATACAAACATATACATACATAAACTTTATTAAAACACGAATTTGAGTGCAGCTACGTACAAAAGCTAATGGCTTCGTGTTAAATATGATAAAGGAAAATGAAAATACAAGTACTAGTAGGAACAAAAAAATTTACATGCCTATCAAATAATACATTAATAAAATATTAATAAAATATCACGATACGTGATATTTTATTAATATTTTATTAATATTTTAAGTAAAGTACATGGCTCCTTTCATCTTAGCGTTGACTTCGATGGCTTTTGTAGTGTTCTCCAGGTCAACACTGAAACAGCAAGAGAGGTTATACTGCTCAGAAAAAGAATTAGCATTGGCCACAAAAAGAAACCATCTATCGCAATGACTAGCAGTGCAGAGTTACAAACATTTTTTATAGCAATTGAGGGTTCAAAGTTAGATGGAGAGACACTTCAACATTTGTTCATCTTGAACATATCAGGATTTCGTCTAAAGACAAACTGTGCGCTGGGAAAAAAAAGCTGACAAAGATATATTGCTGGTTTCTGCCTTCTGCAACATCTCGTCCCTCAAAAAACAAAACAGCAAACACAAATTCAAGTGCAATGAGAAATTGAGGCGCATTACGTGATCATAAAGAAGAACAAGGAATCTAACAATTTACAGTATTAGGTTCATTAAGTCCAAGCTTACTCCTCAAAGTGGACCCTTTTTTTTAAGTTACGCCTGTAAACAATTTAGCACTAATCTTTAAGATGTAAAACCTTCCATTTCCGGTCACGTGGTGTCTAGCTCTAAAGGCCACCAAGTGGGCAAAATAGGCGGGGGCTGGCATGGAGACGCTACGCGTGCTCCTTGCGTACAAGTGACACAGCTGGTACGTGAGCTGCTGAAGGGCGTCCGCTGTGAATGAGTTATCGTCATATAACACATGGTAGTGCTTGGGTCGGCTTGTTCCCTATACGTGGGAGTGAAATTAATGTTCACTTAATTAAAAAAAAAAAACAAGATATTATTAACAGTTATAACAGGAAACTGTGTCTTACACATGCCGGTAGACGTCCTTAAAAACCACTAATAATGCTTTTTAATCAACTTGATCACAAAACTGGTGTATCACTGACATAGCAACTAAAAATAGGTAATAGTTTAAATCGAGTTGATGATTATGTCTTCCTTAAGTTACTGGGTAGGTTGTTCTAGAAAGTTTGCCCTGCTGTCAGAGCGCTATGTTTAAAGTTAATAGTTCGTGGGTGAGTAATGTCTTTTTAACAAGCTCCCAGAAGGAATAATGGTGCTCTCCATATGGATATTTTTTTTTCCGTTAGAGAATTATGAACGAGAACGTTTAGAGGCCTGATTGCCTCCATGGCTTTTTCAATTTGACATTACGTACACAAATCTTTCCATCCTGGTCATTTTCTCGAGCAAAGCTCTAGTGCTTCAGTTTAGAGGCTTATGTTTATGAAATATTAAAGAGGAAAGACCGTTCTTTTACACCTATCAGGATGAATAGACTAGACACAGACAGATGTAACGAAAATTGTGGTCTTTCAGACAGACGGTATAATCAAGCTCCCATTCGCGAATTCTCAGCATAAAAACTCGACATGTTATTTTAAAGCTGAAGTACCTGGATTCCATTATGGCTGCACAGATAAAAGTCGAACTCGTAAGGATGCGTGATACCGCTGTCCACAGTTGTACCAGGAGGAACATTTCTTGCTTTTCCAACTTCATCTCGTTGGTTTTCACAGTACAATCTCGTATGATGGCGCTTCTGAACCACCACAAAGGTGATTCTTGGGCGATAAGCTTTTTCAAGATCCATACAGGCCTGTTGCACGGCTCGCACTTCATGAACAAGTACTTGGTCAAATTTACCCTCGCTGACTCCATCTCGGTAGAAGATGATCTTGCTAGGCTTAAGCTTCCGATTGGCTTTGTAAAACTCAATAAGAAGCTCTCTCACCATAGCCGCCAAGTCATTAATTATTTCTTGAGCTGCTTTTCCATTTCTGTGGTTCTGTGCTCGCACTCGTGCATAGTACTTTGTGGCATTGGCATCCATACTTGCCACAACAGCAGCAATTACATGGTTGATTCCTCCAAGTTTGGAGTTGATCTTCAACGCGAGATTGGCGCAAAGGTGAGGTTTACAACTGTATACATTTTTTGACTGTACACCCTGCGTTGGAATTCCGATAACATTGTCGCCAACACGTTTTAACTCTGGATAGATTTGTTTGTCTCTCTCTGGCAGAACAGCCATGATAAGTTGTAAGCCTGGAAAATCTACTACCCACTTAGAAAACAAACTCTCAACCTGAAAGAATGAAAAAAATAAACAAAATTATAGAAGCCTAGCTGAATTAAAAACTCAACTTGTTCTGTGACGAAAGAACTCTGATCGGTCCACACGTGTATAACATTTTGCTGGATCTTAAACAGGAACACTAGTACTCATCAAAGCTTCTGCACCAAAGTATATCTTATTCGATGGTTTAACATATTATGTCAATAGGCATTTTGCTCATTCCTCATCGAACGAGAGGTGTAATTTCCCAATGCTATAACATTTTCAAGTTTCTCAAATATACCCTTCGGCATTATTTTAGAGTCGTGTTGGTCACATAAGGCGGAAGTGAAATACGAAAACAACACAAACGAGCCATGTCAGCCCTACGTGACAGAGAAAGAATAAGAGGTCTTTTACTTCAAAGTTCTATGTTTGCAAAAGAATCAAGGTTTGGATCGTTAGTCGGGCCACTCGATTCCTTTGACACCTAATCGCTACCCAATGAACAAGTAAACAGCCCTGGTCACTTATCCTTTTAGCAAACAGTACCCATCTGAACTTTGTTCGGTGGATTTTTGACGACATTCATTATGTTTTGACGGAACACCCCTTCATGTGAAGATATCTTACATCTCTTATGCCCCTGCCGTATGCCACAACAACTGGCTGCTCTGACATTCTCAAACCCTGTCGACTGGATACATTCGCCATTTGCCCAGAAAAATTTCTCAGCTGTTCTTCCCGACATCCCCTGTCAAAACAAGCCAATGCCCACTGATCAATACGGGCTCCATCATGCAGTGATTTGTTGCGCATATCCCATGAGCCATCACGAGGAACCAATGGCAGATCCTGGGGTCCAAGGTTGATTCTGGGTGCTGGAAGCACATGTCCTTCTACCTTAACCATCTCTGAGTTGAGTGAGGTTTGGAACTCATTTCTTAGATACTCGTTACTTTCTCGAGTCATTTCTTGGGCCTGGTAAGATTTGAACCACGCAAGAGAAATATTACCATTTTAAATACATGAAGAGTTTAAATATTTAATTATAGGAAGTCGATGCTTTTGTACAAAACCTCGTTGAGGCTTGAGAAAGATTTAGCACGTTAACTTGCATTTATTTTTGCGCAACGTTTTGGAAAAAGACCATGTAGAACAAAAAAATCGCGGAATCTCAATGGAGGTATCGACAACTTTTACAAGAACACTAGACCAAGTATAGTAGCCCTTATCGCATTTACGCCCACTGTACGAGAGCTCAGCGGACTTTCTAATAAAATTCAAAGGAGATAACTTGCTAAAGAAACAGTGGTGCTGCGTGTTTGTGTGTGTGTGCGTGCGTGCGTGCGTGTGGGGGGTTTATCAACTGAGTTGAGGTTTTTTAATCAGGCCCTGAAAAGAGTTCCTAAAGCTAACGTTTTCAGCATTAGCCATTCGTCAGAGCGAAAGAAGTTCGTTGTTGTAGCGAATGTAGTTGTTTTCGTTTTGCTCCATAATAAACGCAGTATTTTATTCCAACATGCAAAATGAAACCTCACCTTGAAAATGCTTTATTTCAAAAACTACAAATTTTAATAATAAAAAAGTATACTGTAGCATAATGAATACCCAAAATGCAAGACATACATGCAAGTAGGTTCAAATACAAAAATAAAGACTTCAACGGGAAAATGAACCTACCCAGTGTTGAATGTCACGCTGTTGCTCAGGTGCAGGGCGAGCAGTACTTCTGATCATGTTCGTAATCTGTTGTTCAGATAAATGTTTCCTTTCACAAGGAATAACGGTACAGACCTCCAGTGGCAGATACGTGCCCTTTTTCTGTCCAACTCGTAAGCACGGCAGATGAGGATACCTTAAAATGACAATGCCTAATATAAAGACTCTTAATATTCATTTAAGGCGCCTTTCAGAAAGTGTAAGAGGAGAGCTGATCAATGTCGACTGTATGTAAGATGAAACGTTGATGGATCAATCTAGCGGGCCTTTCATAAAACCTTCCCCCTCTATTTGAACCCAGAGATATAATAAATATCTCACTAAACTCATTTTCTCAGTCCATACTGTAAATTATGGAGCTTCCTTTTCACGTACTTGGTCTGTAAATCTAAGCAGAGAGCTCATCAATGAATGTCAGATGACACGTTATTACACATGTTAGTATATGTACAGACCTAGAACTCGGTTAATAAGAGGTAGATATTATTGCAATACTGATCTAAGTTACATTGTACTATTTACCAATCGCAACTTGCGAGCTTGTCTTTATTAGAGCCGCTACAAGAACATCTCCACAGCCTCTAGCAAAGTACGCGAGAGTTGATCCGGCGAGCGCAGCGAGAAGTCTGAGAGGCGTCTGGTGTAAAAAAATTACACAGGCCCTCATATCCCGTACTAGACCCCTTGCAAAGAAAGCCGGCCCGATGGACTCTTCTGGGCATTCGCGAGGGGCCCGTGAGGTGTGTGTTCAGTAGCCCTGATATGAGACAGCTCACAATTAAGCTAAATTAATCATCTACAGCTCATACCTCAATGTCACCTTGTGTCTGTCCTTGAAATACTCTGCGACAGTTGTTTTGTATGTGCGACCTGTTCCCTCATCTGTAACATCAAACTGCATCCTTTCGGCCGATTTTGCTGACACGCCCCAAACTCTGTACTTCCTCTTAATAGAGGCAGCATGAGTAGTTTGAATACGAAGTCCTTTAAGACACACAAAATCAAAGATCAATTATTTGTAGCTATTATGGACAATAATATGAAGTCATGGGAATCTTAACATTCCATTAAGTTTTTCAGTTACTTGTGTTTAAGTGTTCATTATCACAGGAAAGCTAAAACGAAAATCAACATGTATCTGCTTATGACAATTATAATAACACTATTAAGCTTGTGTAAAGAGTGTTTATGTTGTCCAAATGGATATAGGCTGATGTTTAATAAAAAAATGTGCACAGTGTAAGGCTATTCAAATGATAAAATAAAATATATTATATATTAACTACCAAATGAATGGAATACCAGAGCTTTTGCAAAATAACATGATATCTTCACTCGTAAAAATAACATCTCGTTATCTACACATATGAAAATATAAGCGTTACCATGTTAACATACAATTGCGCCTCTCATAGTGCAAGTGAAATGGTTTTGTTTTCCATTGGAATTTATATAATAAAATAGAATATTACTTGGCTGTTTGGAGAAACCAAATTTCTCTTCTCTTGTTGAAAAATATCTCGTCTGCTTGCTTGTCCTACTCGAGAAATATTTTTCAACAATTGCAACAAAAATTTTGTATGTTTACACAGCCACGTAATATCCACATGTAATACAATATACTGTAAAATAAAAGTAAATAATATAATTAAAACATAAAATTATATAACAATTTCAAACTAACTTAGTGCAAGTGCAATTTTTTTTATTTGTGAGTACACCTTGAGAGCAATGTAAATGGATTGTCCAGCAATGAACAGACCTGTGCACAAGTACATGTACATTTATCAGTAAGAAACAAAAGACAAAGCTACTCACCACATATAACTTTTTCAAGCTTTCCTCTATCCACTTCATATTTGCAGTCTTTGAGGTTATTCAGTTTTAACCCGAGGGTGTCATACAAGAAGTCAGGAACAACAGCAAGCTCCTTGTAAAATCCCTTTGCAGAGACTAATTAAAGGACAATTAAAATTCACCAAGAACATCATTAACACCTAAAGGTAAATGTTGGACAGTTCTTTAATTAACCCTTCACCACTATCAGTGATTAGTATAATTTCAGAGCTGAACAAAGAGTTTCCAGCAATCTGATTGGTCGAGCGGTTCCTTATATGAGGCTATGTAAACCAAGCAAAATGTCAGAGCAAATCTGGTACAAGCTAAGCAAAATGATGGACTTCAATTATGGAATTTTTAAATCTCAATATAATAAAGAGAGAACTTAACAATTGAGCTAAACCTTGGATCATTATACTTTTGTCTCCAGGTCTACTTGACTGTGGTAAACCCTCTAATATTTCAGGTACAGTATGTGTTCTATGACATTGAGCTGTACAAAAACTTCTCCAGATAGATTCAAATTAATGTCTATGAACTTGTGTAGAGTTGATTTATATTAATTAATTGATAATCAAGCATAACTTAGAAAACTCTTGAAAAATTACATTTCAAAAGTGTTAGTGTGTTTTTCATTTTCTTCCTAGTGGGCCTATGGTATTCTGGTTGCTACGCTTGTTGTCAAAACTAGTATGGCTTTTAGGTAAGTCAGTTAATGTGTCATATAATTTTATTTTGGGATCTACATTATTAGCTCTTCACACCTCATCATCCCTTCACACCTTATCATCAGTATGTACATTCTCCATACTTTTCTCTATATTTCTTAAGGTGCTGACAAGGAGAATTTGTTTAACAATCAAGAACTTTGTTAGTTAAAGATGATTTGCTTTAACTTCTGACCTTAATGGTTTATTCAGGGGTGATGTTAAAGGTAGAAATTAGAGCTGAGCAAAGAGTTTCCAGCAATCTGATTGGTCGAGCGGTTCCATATATGACGCTATATAAACCGCTCCACGCGGCTTATATAAAATGTTACTAATGTGTTATGATTTTAGAAATTTCTCTGTTGATCAGCTCTGAAATTATACTAATAAAGCAATTATCTGCCTCAGGTTTGGTGAATATCGTTGAATAATCCCCTCGACTTCGTCTCGGAGATTATTCGACGATATTCACCTCACCTTCGGCAAATGATTGTTAACTGGCAACGAATTTCTCCCCACAATATCACTCCTTGAATCACACACTAAGGCCACAAGAATGAAAATGATCACAAATGGAAAGGAATTCAGGTCAGCAAAACATGTTTAGTTAAACCAATATGTCTAAACAAAAAAAAAATCAGAAACAGAGAACTGAAAAACTGAATTTTTCCGTAGGTTTCAAGTCATCACTAGTTTGTATTATCGGTGTTAAATATTTGAAATTGACAAACCTTGATTTAAGCGGGTTCTATGAAGAAAACAATGTTAGACTGCCTTTAACAAAAGGTTGCTGTGAATAGAGTAGACAATGTTTGAGGATTTCCTCCACAAATTTTTCAAACCAATGGCAAGAACATGTAATTTCTATGAACTTTTGCCAGCAACAACTCACCATCAATGTTCACCAGCATGGCCTTCCAACCAGAAGGCCGAACACTTAAAGTAAAACCAAATTTCCGCTCACACCCCTCTCCCAGGAATCTTCCTTGACCACCAATTGGAAATAATAATTTTCCAACAGAGGTGTTAGACAATGACGGCATCTGACGCACCACAGTGTTTAGGGCCTGTACTGTACCATGAGGTCTTTTGACATCTTGTTTTCCACTCAAAAAGTTGTTAAGTTCCAAAAGACTCACTGAACCAGCAAACTGAATTCTGACCTTGGTAAATTTAGAATAAAGAAAATGTTAAAACTCACATCCCATTTATACTTTATGAGTATGCTACCTACCATTAAGTGAAATGAAACAATCCACAGACAGCACTATCATCTTGAATGTAACTGTTAAAAATTACAGTATTCATCAAATTTATTCTTACACTGATTGTTTCTCATCCTTTAATTGCAAAATAGTAATTGCATTCAAATCAGGACTTTCACCCTAACCTCACTATTATAATTATCATTACTATAATCATATGACCAACATGCAGCACTGCTCACCTAGGGCAAGACAGGTTGACATGAGGTTGTCTGGAAAAAGCGCTCTGGCCCTAGCTACTGTATTTGTACAGCTTTGATGCAAAAAAAAAAAAAAACATGTTCACCATTGTTGCAAAAAATTGGAGTGGCAGCAAGAAAAAAAATTTAAAAAATTAGTCAAGTTTTTCAATAACTCGTGATTTTCTTGTTCTGACTCAAAAAGGAAAGAAAAAGTTTGTTGTAGAATCTTTTTTGTGGTTTTGCCATGTACACCAGTCTATCGTGTACTTTTTCAGTTGAACAAACTCTTCTAATTTTTCACAACTCAGTCAGTAGTCATACAATAAAATGCCTACTAACTGAGTTTAAGGTCAGGACTGCGACTTGAAAATATCTGGCTTTGGCTAAGAGACACGGACCTCACTGCTTCTGGTCGATTCGGTTAGACCTCAAGGCAAATGTTTTCTCATCCGTCCTAACCTAATACTTAGTCAATAGGTATATATTATTATTAGACTGCACTATTTAGTAGTGTACATGAAATTATCAAATACTAACCTCCAAATGTCTGTCTCTACCTCCATCCCCTCCAGGTAGTTGAACGTTAAGTTTAACCTGTTAATTTAGTCCAAAACAACAAATTGAAATCAACCCTTAACTCCAAAATGTGTTAGAGGGTACCAAATAAAGACCCATAATTTTAAATTTTCAAAGTTTTCCATCCATGGATGTTTGTTTGCATCTGATCTGTACACTAGTTATCATGCATAGCTAAACATATTAAATTGAATGTACATGTGGAAGTTTAAATTATAATCATTATGATTTCAAACTAATTTGATTTGTTTTGGCCTTCATTCCAGGCACACCACTAAAAGTGAAAAAAAAAGGCACGTCATTTTAAACTGGTGTCATTTTACACTTACAACATAATCAAACAAACAAACAATGACTACTAGTGGATTGTGATTTTCAAATTGCTGTGAAAGCGGTTATGCATTACAACATGGAGTTTTGCCATCTCCCATTACTAAGTGACATTTCTGAGTACATTGATTGAAGCCACTAAGTAATTATTGAGTCAGAGCAAGTCTCCTTCAGATTCTGTAAAATTCTTTCCTTTGGAAGTCACCTATCAATGGTATACGAGCCTAACAGTACTGTAAAAATTCTGCTCGTAGCCTCCATACTTATAAGCCCCCCTAGTTTCATGTCCACCTACACTTACCCATAAAGAGAATTATAACATAACCAAAGTAAAGTGCGCACTCCAATTGGTCAATTCAGCATCCTCCATTTGCCCATTGGTGTATGCTGCAAATGCAAAGACCAGTTTTCTGTGCACGCTTGTTTTTTTCTGGTCATGTAAGATTTGTTAAATAAAAGAAAACTCTATATAAATATTATGTTGTAAAACATATGGTAAACACCACAGTGTACACTATTGAGTTACAGATGCACTTGGGAGGTTTGCTGAGCACTCAAGAAGCTAGATTCACTCTCGGCTATTGCTCACACGTCTCTTACACTTCTTTCGTGCTTAGCAACCTGCCGTGTGCATCCATAACTTAATAGACTAAGTGTACACTGTGGTGTTTACCACTTGTTAAAAATAAAATTAATTCATTGTTTTTATGTACCTCAAGATATTAGCCCCCATCTAGTTTACTTAATTTGATTGATATTAAACAGTCTCTCACAGAACTCTGTACTACAGCCAACTTTAACCATAAAATCAAGAAAATTATTGCCAAATAACAAGTTTTTTACTATCTTCTTCATAACCAAACTTTACACAACTTATGATTTTTTTATTCAAGTTATTAAAAAAGTTTATGAAAGCTGGTAAAAAAAATACGTATCCTAAAGTGCCCTTGCTCATTTCAAAATGTTTTCCCTATTCCATTTAAAAGCTCCCTTGCATACAAGCCCTCCCATTGATTAAAAAGTCTGTCAAAAACCCCTCAAGAAGTTGTCTAGACCTTGGGCTTTTGAGCAGTATTTAGAGGTGATTCCTCAGAAGCAAAAGATATAACTAGAATGCTTTTTTTAAAAATTTTCCTTAAAAATAAATGTTCCCTACCAATGTCTGTCTCAAAAACTACTAAGTTAACAGTATTACACTAAGAAAATATGAAGTTGTTACAAAACTCACACGAACAGGCAGTTCTATCCTACTGTACAAGTTCCTTTCACCATCAAAAGCAGGATGGTGGCCTTGAAATACTGTATTTTTGTATTTCTTTATGGCTTCATTAACAATGTCCCTCTTTATTTCTTTGGGACATTTGTCTGGAGTTATTTCAACATCATAGTGATACAGGTCTGAAAGCTCCGGTGATGTATTTAGGCAGAGGAAGTTTGCCCTCAAAGCTATAAGGCGGCCTTTTGTGCCATAATCTGGTCTTTTTGGAGGTTGCATTCCACTGTTTCTTAGAATCTGACCAGTAGTGTGTTCTGAGAAATAATTATGGCAATCAATACATCACAGTCAGCTTTTGCATGCAAATAAATGTCAAATGCATTTTTGTTTCTTAGATACCTTGACTGAAAATAATTAAATATAAGAATAATTAATACTACTGCAGTTGTTGGAGGGCCATTTTGTGCAATTTTTAAAATGCTTAAGAATACCATGGTAGACAACATATTTTCCCATTAGTTGCCCTTGTCAGTCAACATCCATTCATCCCCAAAGCATTTGAGATTCAAAGAGGGTTACCACATTGAGATTGGTAATTTTCCCAGCATGATTTTACCATTTTTACTGACATAAAAGTTGTAGCTCCCATTGTGGGCCTATGTTTACGTAAACATCCGGGCAATCGCCCATGTGCTTTGAAAGGGAAAATCGTCGCGTTCATTTCAAAAATGTTTTGTTGCCGTGTATTGTCGTTGTTTGTAAACCCTACGCTTGAACAGTCAGTGAGTTTTCATTTCAGTAGTTTATGTTGTAATTTCGTTTGTTTTAAGCGTGTTTTCTGTTTGCAGAAAACCTCTCCTTTATCGGTTAGTCAAGTTTTCGACTCAAGCAAATGTTTCTGTGAAATAAACAACAAAAGTACTTCATTCTGCTTCAGCAAAATCAAATTAGAAAAGGGCACTTTTTAAGATAACCTTTCAAACAGTGTAGCAATTAAAGCATACATTGTAGCGGCCGCTTTGGTTGTGCAACGGGACACGTGAAAACCAAGGGTATGCGCCAATACGTCTAACAATCAAGTCCGGTGTTTATTTTTAACCACGGTCAATTACAACGTTACTTAGAGATGATACTCACTAAACTATGCGGATGACTGTCAAAGACTGTCATGGAACTTGCCTATGAAGGGGTTTCAAGTGAAACTTGACTAGCTCGATAACGAAACCACAAAAACACCCATCCTAGCAAAAAGGTTTTTTGCTTTTCTCCATGAGGGAACTTATCTTAAGGTCCCGTGTGGAAAAAGGAATGACGGGATGCGTCACACAACACAAAACGGCTGGGAAGGCGTTACATACACGTTGCTCCATTTTCTGCATATAACACACACACACACACAACCCACAATTCCTCCATTTGCTCTGACAAGGGGCTAAAGCTCGAGAAGGCAGCTTTGAAACTCTTTTCAGGGGACAATTTACAATATCAACTCAGTTGATCAAGCCAAACTTACCTTGTTATACCCCCCCCCCCCCCAATGCAGCACTATACAGTTTCTTTTGAAACTTACCTCCTTTTTCAAAGAATGTACACAAGTGTTTTAGAAAAAAAAAATTCATAATAAATGGCATTCTGAGTATTTTTGCGAGAAACACATTTTAAGGGAAAAAATGTGGCACATGACATAGTCGATGGTGAAGTTGGGCAAGGAGTAAAAATCTTTTACAGTACCTTCACTTCCCAAAGAAGAACATGGCTTTTTGGTCACATACTCAACAGCAGCTGAAGATGGAGTGGCACCAAAAATATATTTTGGTGATGAGGCATCAGCTGCAGTTGCACCTGGAGGCAAATTGGAAGTTTTTGATTACATAGAAAATAACTTTCACCAACTGTTGGAGATTAACACAGTATCCTTAAACGAAATAAAGTTAAAATCAGCTGACTGAGTGTAATATTCATCAAACAGGACATCTACCAGGACATCTAACAGCTCACCTCACAAAGGGTGGTTTTTCTCTTTCTTCCTTACTTTCACCCTTACTTTTGCTTATTGTTTGGTTAAGGTTTTTTGCATTGCCTTAGAGGGTCTTTGATCGATCAGTGTAGATCTGATCTCAATTAAAGTTTGCTATTTTTTTTCTCTCTAGGAAATGAAACACTTTCTATGGATTCCAGTACGATTAGAGACTTGATAAATTTGATGGAAAGCAAACTGTAGTATGGAACAAATGAGGGACCTTGAATTTTCAGCCGAAGAAACCTGAGAATCACCGAAAAGAAAGGCATGTCATTCTAAATACATATGGTTATTCAATGTACTAATCACTTGAACTCAGAAAATTAGCTCCGCTACCATTCGTCAAATCGCCTAGTTTTTCACCAAAGTCACCTCTGCTTGAATCCT